CACGCCCCCACATATCTACGTCACTATTTGGGCGGCGTTATGCAACTCTTCCCACATCTTCACGCAAAGAAAGAAGGCGTAACTTTTATTCTCACTAGATATGTAACTTTTACAATCAGAGCACACCTCGCTTTTTCAGACCGATGAGCTTTGTAAAAATCGACGCGTTTCAGAAAGGCGGGGCATAGAGGAGAAACAATAATGTACAGTATGTGGAAAATAATGTGTTTTTTGAACCTTAAACTGCATAAACACATTTCATTACACCAAATACACAAAATAATGTTCTTTTTAGCAGCAACATATGACCCCTTTAAGAACTTCCACTCTCTTATTGACTGAGTTTCCATCATCCTTTTTAAATCAGCTGAGCACAAAGGACATGACATGGCATTTAGTCAAAAATGTCATAGTAAATAACTGCATCTAAAAAGCTTTGAAAAATAAAGTGGCAATTCAATGTTTAAAAGGCCACTAAACAAACAAATAAAATGCATTCACAATGAAAAAAACAATATGCAATTTGCAACACTTCCATTGCAAATTCTTCACATGTATCTAGTGAGTTTTACTGGGTAGCAGTTAAGAAAACTGTGTGCATAGTTGCAATGCTTTCCTTGAGAGCACAAAACCCATACTCAGAACTCCAGCTGTAGGCTGAAACATACACATTCAACACATCAAACCATCCAGTCTCCAGAGACGCATTACACAATTCTGTCGAAATCTTTCATACTATTTTCACACAATGACAAAGCCTCGAGTGTCTAATGTAAACCAGCTATGCTGATTGCTTCCTAAAAATCACGGCTCTACTGGACCAGGCGGTATCCTCCTTCAAGGCAGTTCTGCTTTGATCATGGAGAACTTCGATCTGGCTCGGTCCAGCTAATCCCTGTGAGATCGCTTACCCATGTTCAAGGGGAAGAACCTGATGTTTTCTCTGACTTGGTTCTGGGGTGGATTACAGGCCTTCATGCTTTGGAGGAAGTGCTGGCAGTGATTACGGGGTACAGCAGCAACCTGACTGGACTCTTGAAATACAGTTTTGAGTTCCACTAAAAAAACAAACCACCCACTCCGCAAAATCTACAGTGGGTTTAGACATCTGCTGCATTTGGCACTGTGAAACTAGTGTTTATGGGTCATGGATGCTGTTCGACATCATACTGATGTAATTATTATCTGAGAAAGTGTTGTATTACACACACACACACACACACACACACACACACACACAACAAAATCACAATAATATTCCCCAAACTGTGTTGAAATTTACCAAGACACCAAGCCTGCAATCAAAATGTAAACTCAAACATTTCTCATTACCCTCATTGTATGTGAATAAATGTCTTAAAGTATTTATAGTCTAAGTGAGCTGGCACTGGATGTCAATGTAACGACCAGAAAGACGTTGGACACCAATGTTGGGCAGATGTCATATTCAAACGTCAAATTTTGGTTGAAAATTAAATCAGGTTGACGTCAAAACCCTACGTTTGCTTGACATCAAGCTCCAATGTTTGGCAGTTAATTTTTGGTCGGAAATTCATTGAGTTGATGTCTTTGTCTTTAGATCAAGCTCCAGCTTTAGACTGACGTTGAATTTTGGTTACTTGATACAATGATTAAACCTAACGAAATAACATCTAATGATTTTATAATTTGACATTGTGTGGATGCTAATTTATTTTGGTAAACATTGGGTTTTGATTACCATACCTTGTTACTAAATGTCAATATTTGATGTCAATATGATTTTGGTTACTGAATTTTGGCTACTGCCACGACTGAAAACCAACAAAATATCCATGTCAAATAAACGTTTACATTATACATTGTCCTGGCACTGAATTTTGGGCACGCACAATCAGAACCTATATTTAACCAAATATCAACATCTTATAACTTTGGTGGCCTTCTGGGATACTTGTACAAAAGAAGCAAAACCCACTGAATTCAAAGCCCTACAAAAGCTTTGAGCTACAGTAAAATACAGCAAGCACACCTTGAAAATAAATCTTTCAACATTTCATACCTATGAAAAGAGCAGGTTTTTAAGACTAACCATTACCTGCTGTGAGACCTTCAGTTGTAAAAAACAGAAATTAACAGTTCATAAAGCACTGGACCATGTTGTTGTGAATCTAAGTTTCAACCTATAAACAGCTTTGACTTACAATAGTTGTCAACAATCCTCCATTGTTGTAAGAAGCTATCAGGTCACAGTCTATAAAGCCACCATATATTATTCACAGTCATTTCCAACAAGAAGTAATCTGTCCCAAATGAGCACACCAAATCCTACAGAGACAAGCATATTCAGTTCTCCCATTGCTGAGCTGTTTTCATTTCTGCCCTAGTGACACCATTACACCCCGGCGTCAAGACAAAGCCTGCCGCTGGACAGGAGGGAGTGTCATTTACAGTAGAACGCCTGCTGGATTGAGCCGACGTCAGCAACCCCTTCCCGTTTATTCCTACCAGTCCGTACTGAAAAAGCGACCTCTTTATATGATAATGCCTTGCTCACCTGAGAGGCATAAAGAGAGCATTAAACGTGTAATATGTATGAAGCTCACGCCCATAACGTGTTGCTGCTGTGGCAACAGTGCTCTGTTGGAAATGGGAGCTGTGTGTGCATGGGATTGAAATGAACATGCTTCTGTTTAGCGGGTGTAATCTAAAGACGAAACCTCAGGGGACGTTCACAACGCAGCAAGTCCCACAGCACAAGTTCTGTGAGCTGTAGGCTACTACTGTTCCAGTATTCTGCATTCCATTCACAGTTATATTCCTACTTCAGGAACTACTTGGAAGATGACGTGTAAGCTTTGTTGGTGTTCAAATGTCAATAGAAGAACCATTTTGGGTTCCAAAAGAAAAATTCAGTGAACAGTTCTTAAAAGAACCATTTTTTTAATGGAAAGAATATTTTAATAATCTGAAGGATCATTTTCCATAATAACAAACCTTCATTCATAAAAATAATGGTTCTTTATTGGCATCTATGGTTCAAGGTTCTTTGGGGAAACCAAAATGGTTCTTCTATGGCATCACTGTCTTTTTTATGAAGTGGAAAGGTTCCGTGGATGTTAAAGGTTCTTCTGGAACCAAAGATGCCAATAAAGAACCTTTATTTTTAAGAGTAATAGCATTTATTCTGCATGTAAAAGATCATCAAAAGAGCATCATTTACTATGTTTTAAACACTTGACTCTGCAGATGTTGCTAAACATTTAAGTTTTTGCCATCAAACAATGTAGGAACTTTGAGTTTATTTGAGTTTTATAAGTCAATGTTCATCACTTCCCTCTATTCTATTGCACTTTTTTAGGAGGAAATTAGAAAATTTTACTTCCAGAGTGCAATGGAACGCAGCATACTGCAAGATCTCCAGATGGATCGTATACCAGAATGAGGCTTTTCCCTTCGGTTCATGTCACAACACTGCTCACTAATCCCCATGTGGACGAATCACCATGTTCTCCTGCAGAGAAAAGCCCAAACACTCAGTTACATCTCCTTTAAAATTGCCTCCGCTTAAAGAGCGCTCTCATGGCCACCCTGCTCTTCAGTGATCCCCTCTCCTTCCCATCAGCTCCTCCACCTCCAGCTCATTTTAATGGGCACCTGCAGGTCACTTGCAGCTGGCAGAAATGGCCATAAAATCTGGAGACCAACAGCAGGTCTGAAACACGAGCCACGGGCACACCAGATCAATGGTGCTCTTAAAAAACAGCAAAATACTACTTTTAGTAATAATAGTTATATTATACACACACACAAATGTTTATGACATCCTCTTAGACACAGCCCATGATAAGGAGATCTAAATGCAGATGCAATGTTTTGGACTAGTGAGGGACAGATTTTTTTTTTTTTTTTTTAAGATAAACGGTGCAATTATTGAAATGAAGAATATAATAGATACCATATGCTTGTATTGCAACTGTGATCACGTTATAGTTCTTAACATCTTAACACAAGCAGAGGAGTTTGTTTGTGACAGCACAGCGCCCCCTGTTCTTCTTAATGGATAATTATTGAATTAGGCAAACTGTGCTTTGGTTTCCATGGGGCGCAAAAAAAAAAAACACTGATCAATAATTTAAAAAGATAGGGTTTGTCTGTAAACCATTTCTGTCTAGGTGTAAATCATACTGATGGTCTGCTTATACACAGCTCCCGGTATTAGACGCTGAAAATGAAATGAGCACACGACGAAATTTGATATTTACGCACACATGCATCCAATTACGCACTGCATATTTACCTATATATATACTTTGTGCTTATGATTTGAGCTCTTGTGGAATCCACACCAATTTCTGGTGCAGTACTACCTAAGCCAAAACCGAATAACTAATCAAAAGGGGTAGTTAATCATAAATGCGCTTCTCTCAGCACTCACGCTTGCCACCAAAGCCACATCATGGTATGACGTCTTTCTTTACACAGTCTGTTTCACTTTACAGTCTTCTTACATCAAAGGAAAAAGCTGTTAGTCAGCAATTAATTTCGCCCCCTTTGGCCAGTTTCATCATGATCTCAGTCTCCTGGAAGCGCACTGGTATAGCAGCGATAGTGGATCAGCAACACGCCGCAGTGCCGTGTATGTTCAGCACTTCGCCCCTTATGTGCAACACTTCTGTGTGTTTTCAAACACAGTTTAATGCAAAGCTGCTATTTTTTCTTTCTCTTTATTTATTTTATTGTTTATTTTGTAAGATGCGATTTGTTTTGCTAGTGAGAGCAGCCAAACTATGATAAAAGAAGGGAATTAGTCGATAAATAGCAGTGCACGAAAAAAATCAAATTTAATTCTAGTTTGAAATCTTCACGTTGTACATTTCTTGGTTACTCCAAGCTTTATGTCCAAAATACGCACTGCAACACTGGAGTTCATGTATCACACTTCAGCATGGATATCCGATGTCATTTGTATCTGCATGACGCATTTCAATGTCAAAAACTGATTACAGACATCAGCCTACCTTGCTAGAGTAGGGTCCGGGAATGAGTAGTTTTAATGCCTGTCTCTTCAGCTCCACCAGCCGTGCGTTGCAGTTCTCGCACCAGATGCCCCGATCAGAACCAGGTGAGCTCCCGCTACCCGAGGCTGGAGAACCAGTGCCGAACCCTGGAGATCCGCCTAAAGAACCGGGCGAACCGGTGCTGATTCCAGGCGATATAGTAACAGGTGAGCCGGAGAAAGAGCCCGGGGATGATATTCCTGATCCGGGGGACGGGGTTCCAGAGGACCCGGGCATGGAGCCCGCACCTTCAGGGACCGGGCGACTGGCGCTCCGGGACTCCTCATAAGCCTTTCGGTACCAGGTTTCAGGAGAGAATGATGCTGACTTCGTAGGGGATGAATCGGTCATCTGCAAGAAATGATAGTTGAGGATGAAAAGCAGTGATTGAAACATTAATGTCTGGGTTACAGATATGGTAAATGTGAAAAAAAGTGTGCAAAGTGGTTTATTATTTTGCATATCGAGTTTGACATTGAATTAGATTGTTGATTTTCTTCACTAGAAGATCATTTATTTCCCTGAATATGCACATAACTTTACATAAAATAGCTATAATAAACATAATAAATCTTACCCCATATTTTCTACTCCTGGTCCCAAATCTTTCTTTATTCCCTGTTAGAGAGGTCATGATAAAGCCTGCTAGAGAGGGACTGATTAAATAACTGTGCTTCTTGTTACATCCACAACTAAAAGATCCAAAAATCAATCTCTGGCCAGTTCAGTAGCCCTACTGAAGTCCAGTCTCAGCGACTAGTACCATGCAGAAATCTATCCATCTTCCACAGTGGAATATGAATAACAGATGGTCCAATCTGAAATGTCCAACAGTGGATAATCCAGTTCTTTCTTATGCTCTCTGATATGCTGAATCCATGTGCAGTGCTTTAGATTTCACAGCATCCCAGCACAGGAGCATTTTCACATGCATATGGACTTGTGTGAAGCGCAGTCTGACAGTAGAGCAGGCTGTTGGAGGACTGATCTCTGCGCTGCTCTCACTCCAGAGGAGCGCACACATCTGTCTCTGGGTAGACTGGCCACGCCCCATCCGCGCCTCTCAGCGAATAGCATGTCCGAGATCTACTGATTGACATGTGGGAGTGTACTGTTGTCCACACGCTAAACTAAACTACTAGTTTCTTTATTAAAAGTCAATTTTGACTTTCGGAAATTCTATCAGTGTTGTTCTGTTAGCAGTTCGTCTCGCGCAACAAAAATGGTATTGAACTAAATATCAACTATATGTTTATCTACACTCTAAAAAATGCTGGGTTAAATTCAACCCAGTGCTGGGTAAAATAGGGACAAACCCAGCAATTGGGTTGTTTTGACCCAGCGGTTGGGTTAAATGTTTAACCCAACCTTCTGGGTAGTAACCCAACCGCTGGGTCAAAACAACCCAATTGCTGGGGTTGTCCCTGTTTTACCCAGCACTGGGTTGTATTTAACCCAGCATTTTTTAGAGTGTACGTATTTTTTATATATTTATATGTGCAGATTTATAATAAATAATAATGACACCATTAGCCTAATCTAATTTATGTGGTTACTCAAAAACGTGTATAAACTACATAAATGTAAAAATACACACACACACACTTTTTTTTACACCATTTAAGAATCAACGAACGCGAATCAATCAAAAATGCAATACAATTTGGAGCATAATATTAGCAATATAAAAAAAGCTAATATATTTAAAACGGTATAATATTATTATTTTTTTTAATAATATCATGATATTAAAATATTATAGTGTTCCAGGTCAAATGCTCAAAAATCTTCAACTGCTTACACTGCCTGCAAACATGTAATTTGAACCAAGTATATACACTTATTATGAAACCAACAACAAACATTTGCAATATCATTTTGCAATATTTGGCAGTATTTCTTAATTGACCAAACGCTGTTGAATTGGCATGAAAACAAATGGGCAGTATTGTTTTGGTTGTATTGTTAGTAGGAATTTGAAGGGACATTTTGAAAGCATGGGAAAGTAGCGCCACCTACTGCTCACACATCTAAATTAAACACTCCTAACTATAACCCACAGCTTTGAGACTCTTAACAGTAAGACATTAGCAAACGACCATCAGTTTTTAGTAAAATGAAACAGTACTGCTTTATTGTACATTCTTAAGATAAAGATACATAGACATAACCTTAGCATAAACAAAAAGGAAACTGTCATAAACCTAAAATCTTAGCATTGACCAGATTATTTGTTAATCTATCCTTGAACCACTTAATCTTCGCCTTTACTTTATGATACATAAAAAAGCATATACAAACAGGAAAGCCTGAGATGGTTATTGTAGCCTTTTCCAGTTTTTACAATATTGTACACAATACCTCATGCACTATTTGGGGTTTCTCAAATTACAGGAAAAATATATTTCGTTTCACACTATTCTCTCAGAGTAATGCATTTCATTGTTGTGTAAGGTATATTGATAAAGTACACTCAGAAATTTTTTTCGAACTATAATGTTCAATTGTAATAAAATTACATTGTATCAGTGATCAGTTCTTTTTTTTTTCTTCATCAGAGAACTGCTTCTCTGGTCAGTTCACAGGGGGCAACTCATGGGACACAGATTAATTAGAAAAAAATGAGCTGCAAGAATATGCCACCCCTTCATAAAACCTGTGGTATCAGAGTCTGTTTATGAAACTGAAAGAAGAAAGACACCACACACTGACTTTATAATGAAGCTCTCAGACACACAACTGGCCGTAGAAACCTGCCTCATTAATAGGGAGAATGATTCATCAGTCCTTGATACACCCTCTCAGTCTTGCACACATTGTCCACTTTAAAGCCTATTTGAATAATTATGAATAGAGTAAAATGTCATATTGTGTAATTTTGCCAAACTATACAATAAGGAAAGAGTATTTGGGCATTATGAACACCATTAATGATGTATACCATGGGTAAAGAGTCAAAATAACATGTGCAGTATATTATTTATTATGGTAACTGAGATGATTTTGTTTATGATACCTTGATCCTAACCTATAAAACCACTTATTCATTTGATCTATTCATGCCATCAGCCATCATCGAGTGTCATCAAAGGTCATCATGCTCACAAATTCCTTGTAGAGAATGACATTTTTATCAGGATCAACAGCTGCAGACAGCATTTCATCTATCTCTTCCTGTGTGAAGGGCTCTCCTTCAGAAGACAGAGAAATTAAAAACTTCAGAATTACTGAACTTGACGTCTTTGTGGATTCCTTGTATTGTTAAAGTGTGTGACAAATGAGCATTGCACATCGATTTCAAAATGTCAGAAGCCTATACTAAAATACAAACTACTATTTTCAATAGTCATAATTGACATACCTTCTTGTGTTAAATACTTGGCGAGTTCCTCTGGTTCCAAGTGGCCTTTTTTCTGTTGATCTAACACCTTTAAAAAGAGATAACAGCACCATTACATTAATTAATTCCATTGAGGTCTTCATTTTTATATCCAGTTTAAGGTTTTTGAAGGTTTTTTTTTCTCTGTAGTGTATCCAAGGTAAATTCAAACAACAAAAGAAGAATAACAAAAATGTTTAAGTGTCAGAGCATTAGGCACCTCAAAGGCCTGAAGGAGCAGGTCTTCTGTAATAGGACGAAACCTGCAATAAAAAGGAATCAGAGCTAAAACTGTCACCAATACTGGACTTTTCAATCAAAAATTTGTAAAGTGGTTCATCTATGTTTCACAGCATAAAACACTTCATTTAATTTTTTAGCATATTTTTTGGGCATATCTGATCTTGTCCCTTGCATGTTTTCAGGTGTACAATTGGAAATAATAGTTGTAAATTGATTTTTAGACGTGCATTCACACTGACAAGGTGGCCAGTGTTATTTTAGAATTATTTGTATATAAATTATTTCTAATATTTTTAATTAACTTTAATTTTTTTATGTTTTTGTTTTTAATTTATTTTAAGTTTTAGTATTTTTAATGTGTATTTATTTTTATTTTTAGTATTTTTTTCGTGTTTTATATATATATATATATATATTATTATTATTATATTATTTATTTTATTTAGTTGCCAAGGCAACTTTTCTCATTTAAGTTTTTTTAAGTTAAAAGTTTTAAGTTTATTTTAGTTTCAGCTTTATTTCAATTACCAAAACAATTTTTAGTAGTTTTAGTGAACAATAACAACACTATCTGTGAAAGTAAAAAAAAAAATTGCATAAGTATAACTCAGAAATCTCTTGGATGACATGAAAGTAATTTTTGAAAACATTTATATTTTAAATAACAAAATGGCCATATTAGACAACACCATTTAGACATAGAAAGACACTTATATTTACATTTAGTCATTTAGCAGACGCTTTTATCCAAAGCGACTTACAAATGAGGACAATGGAAGCAATCAAAAATCAACAAAAGAGCAATGATATACAAGTGCTATAACAATTCTCAGTTAGCTTAAAAACAATCTGTTTTGGCAGGGATATCTGATTATTTGTAATTTTGCAGAAAGCTCAAGATTAATGTAATTTGTCCAATTGACCCTAATCACTTCACTCTCAGTCTTACTTGCGCTCCAGCAGGATTTTAGTCATAGTTGGAAGAAACTTCTCATAGCGCACAAACCCAGTGGGCTCTTCGTCTTCAAGCTGTAGAAACGCCACACATCATAATTTCTTATCTACTCAGCCTGCAAGAGTCAATATCTAAATGAGCCAAATGTAAAAACAAACCACAGACCTCAGCAATGATATCATGTAATTCCGCTTCCGATGGAAAACAGCCAAGTGAACGGATAATGGTGCCTATTTCTCTTTTACAATGAAAAATATCAGTGTTAAACTTATAAGACACCCTTATATGTAGAAAATAAACAGGTGTCAGAGAGCAAATCTGCAGATAATAAACTACTAAAGTCTGAAAGAAAGCAAGGAGAGTGACATTTGAAAACTCTGAAATGTTACCTGACATCAACAGTCTTGTTGGATTCGTGATCAAACACGTCAAATGCGTTACTTATCCTCTTTTGAGTTTCTGCTATAATAGATTCTGAAAAAAGGAAATTATGTATTTCAGCCAATTTTACAAAGACGTCTAATTTTAGACGTCTCAGTTAATGCTGTATCCTATGTATTTAATTTACTATACTTTAATTTTATTTTATTTTCCAAGCAACTGGCAGTCTCTTTTACTTTACAACGTTAGCTAGCTATTTATTCGATACTTTAAACAAAGCATTTAGTGGATAGCAATTGTAATAATGACAACTGAGCTACAAACAACACGTAAGAGTACAAATGCTACAATGTATATCGTAAGCTTGAAAGGAAAGAAAGTTTAAAGTAACAACATTACCTGCGTTGGACTTGTCCGCCATGTCTGGGCAACACTGGTTGCTAGGTAACGTGAACACTGTCACTGACTGGTTTTGTGATTATTTGTTCGTGACGTCGTTACTCACGTTAAAGTTTTGAAAAACAAATTTCTCACATTTTATAACAAAAATGTAGCTATTATATATAGCCTTTAAGAAAAAAGAAGAAGAAAAAAAAAACAACGAAATGCGCTCCTGTGGCATTAAATAATAAAACGATACTACAATATTAAATTAGCAATATTTAATAGGTATTACTAAACAATAATAATAATAAAAAGATTTGTTTATTATTTGCCACCTGTACTGTATTAATTTATTTATTTATTAACTGCATTCTATGTGCACATGAAAACTGACTTTAATTGTTTTGAAAACCAAATTTCTCTCAAATGTATCATATATATATATGGGCCTAGGTTAGTCTTTAAGAAGTTCTCTGGCAATGTTGATATGTTAATATACTATTTTTATGTGCTCTTGTGGCATTCAATAAAATAATGATACTACAATATTAAATTAGTGATATTCAGTGTTGGGGAAAGTTACTTTTAAAAGTAATGCATTACAATATTGCGTTACTCCATAAAAAAGTAACTAATTACGTTACTTAGTTACTTTTTATGGAAAGTAATGCGTTACTTTACTAGTTACTTGAAAAAAGTAATCTAATTACGTAACTCGCGTTACTTGTAATGCGTTACCCCCAACACTGGTGATATTTAATATTATGCTTTTATAACATAAAATGTTTTATATAAATAGCATATAGCCTTTTAGAAAAAAACATTGTTTTTATTGTAATATTGTTAATACTGCATGTTAATATATATACATATGCTTTTATGTGCTCTTGTGTCATTAAATAATAAAATGATATTACAATAGCAATCTTTAATATTATAATAAACACTTTATATAAGTGATTTATTTAGCATAGTATGTGCCTTATCTGTAGGCTAGCTACTGTATTTATTTACTTACTTACTTATTTACTGCATTTTCTGTGCATATGAAAATAGACTGCAGTTGTTTTGTAAGTGTTTTGCAAACCAAATTTCTCTAAAATGTATACACATATTTAAGCTAGCCTTTAAGAAAAAGTCATAATAATTGCAATTGATGTAAAATGACGTAGGCCCACTCTGGCAATGCTGATAGGCCTATGTATACTCTGTAAAAATATTTTTTTTGTGCGTTTGGGGCATTGAAAAAAATGATACTACAATATTAAATAAGCAATATTTAATTTTTTCATATATATTATTATTATATAATATATTAGGCTATTATTATTTTTTCATAATATTTTCATTATATTTACATGGTATATTTACTATTTGCTTTATCAGTACTGTATTCAGATTTGTTTATTATAATTTTCTGAACATATGAAAAGTGACGGAAACTGAATACTGATATTTTCTCTTATGCATATTTAATAGCTATAGTGGTATTTACGGTAGTTTGCTGATGTATTATGTGTTTTACGGTAGATGATATAAGGCTCAATTGGCCCCGTCCTGCTCCGACTGCTGCCCGTCAGCGACCGCATCGAGCGTCTCATAACCTGCTCTTCCTGTTCATATTTCATACATTTGGGGTATAACATCTAAAGTAAAGGATCGAAACGACAAGATGAGCTCAATGAATGTGAAGAACCTGAAAGTAAACGAGCTGAAGGACGAGCTGAAGAAGAGGAGTCTGTGCGATAAAGGGCTGAAGGCTGAGCTGATGGCCCGGCTGCAGGCCGCTCTGGATCAGGAGGCGCTGTCCACCAACGGTTCTGAAGGACAGTACGAGGATGGAGACGGCCTCGGTGACATGGGCGATGAAGACCTTGAGGAAGATCTGTTTGGAGAGAACATGGTGGAGGATGGCGATAATGCGGAGGCTGAGGAGCAGCAGGATGATGACATGGAGGAGGAGGAGGAGGAGGAGGACGCCGGGGTAGAGATGGATAAATCAGATGAAGATGAAGATGTCCTGCTCAAAGAAGATGATGAAGAGATGGAGAAATTTGATGAGGATGATGTGGCTCTCGACGTGGGCCCTGGCGAGGGTGAGATTACGTGTTGAAGCTTGTGCAATTCATATTTTATAAATTGGTTCTGCCAGAATAATTTATTCTGACAGCAGAGAGCACAGGATTTGATGGCATTCTCTGGAGCTGGTGCCATTGGTGTCCCATTTGTGTTCCTTTGACTTATTACTGATGCAATTAACAGAATACTAAACTTATTCACATCACAGTCATATAATTTAATAGATTTAATTGATGCAAAAGACAAAAACAAATAAATAAATATAAAGACAAAAAATAATATTTTTTATTTATTTTAATGTATTTAATTTATTTGTTTATTTTTATCTTAAAAAGTTAATTTTTTTATTTGTATCTCAAACTTTGATATAATATTTCCTTATTTATTGGCTAAAATCTATATTTATGGTCAGCTATACTATTTCTAGTTTTTAGACATATGAATGAGAGATGACAAGCTTGTGTAGATGTTATATATCAAAATTAAACAAGAGAATCTGCTACATCTGCAGGATTTTATGTCATTCCCAAGAGATGGTGCCTCTGGTGTCCTACTTTTGTCCCTTTAACTTTAATTTAATAGACTTAACTTTATAAAGTGTTTCATTCATTCATTCATTCATTCATAAATAAATAAATGTTTAATTTATTTATTTTTATTTATCCCTATTTTTTATTTATGTAATGTTTCTATTTTATTTTTATTCATCACTAATAATTTATTTGCACTAGGTCTCAAACTTTGATATAATATTTACATATTTATTGGCATAATATATATGTACATATACAGTACATATGTAAGTTAGTTTAAATTAAAAGACTAAATCTACTTCCATATGGTCAGCTATATTATTACTACTATTTTTAAAGCATGTAGATACAAAAGCTTGTTATACAGTATATCAAATTAAACAAGAAAATCAAATTCAGAACATACTAGTCTTGTTCTGTCATGATTTGCATAAAACATTTTCTTTTCATTTCATCAGATACTGATTGAAATCAAATGATGTAAAAATGTTAAACCCTGACATTTTCAGGCACGAATAGGACCGTTTCCTGAGAATGACCCTTAATAGTGTACGTTTATTGGTTGAGCAGTAGGTTCTCAGGATCGCTGAGCTGTAACGGGATGCTGAAGTGGAGATACGAAGGACAAAAGCTCCAGATGGAGTCTGTGCGTAATGATCTCAGTTCATTTGTTTTGGAGTAGTGAGGACTTCATTGTTATTCTTTGTCTTCCTTTAGCAGATGCTTTCACCCCTTGGGGTAATGTTGGTTTAGGGGTTTGAACTTAGTATCTTTTGAACTACCAGCCTGGATCTGTAACCATAAAGCTGTGCCACCATTAAATCAATGTTGTCATTAAATGACAATTATACCGAATTCCTATAAAAGACTAGTTATTATCCATATTTACCTCGAAAATTGCTTCAGAAATGATGGATTTGTGAGTGATGTATGGCAGTTTGCATATTCCAGTTTTTCATTTTCTAATCATTTTTGTTCTGTCAAGCACAAGTTGCATACATAGGGAATGAGGTGCTTGTGAGCTTTGCCCATCACCAAATGTGCCTTCATTATTTGCACACACTGTAACACCTTTCTTCAAGATGCATGCAATGTGAATCTGAAAATGTGTGTTACTTAGCTCAAAATAGCACAGTTTGCTGATATCTTGGCAACCACCTTCTGTTTGTTCCCATATAAGTGCTGCAGTGTACAAACCACACTGTAAGGCAGTGCTCCTTTATCTAAAACATGTGAACTTATAATTAAATACACCTTTCTTTTAAAATACTGGTCATTGCAGTTTATGCACAACCGAAATAACTAGAAATCCTCCAGTAATTATGTGGACCGTCATGTTACATCATGATGGGTCCAGCAGGGAGGTACGCCTCCTTATGTTTTATTGTTTTATTTCCAAAGGGGATGCGGACAAAGACAAGAATGATGAACAGAAGAATAAGAAGGGTGTAAAGAGACGCCGAGATGAACATGGAAGGGGCTACTTTGAATTTATTGAAGAAAGCAAATACAGCCGGTAAGAAATGTGCAGTCGGCCTCTGGTACTCCTGAGGTTCCGCTGCACCTTAAAGATTTACGACCAGTTTTGGCAGTAAAGAGCCAAATCTGACATGCTGTTCCTCATCTGTGCAAAGAAACACACATTTTTACTGAGCGTTTTTAATCACTTTACACCTATAATAAGGGCATCTCTGTCATGGTATTTCTCTGTCAGTGGTATTTTACAGTAGGAATCTTGTTTCTAGGTCAAAGCTTGGGCTGTTAAAGGACGAAAAGTGTTTATCTGAGAATATTGTAAGGGTATTGATGCAGTTCCAGAAATTACACTTCCTTTTCTATTCATATTTTCGTATTCTGTATCAGATATGTTATTTAGAAACTATGACTAAAGTGATCTGGTGTATTTTTTTTGTGTTCATTCTTATCTTATTAATATTGTTTTATGTTTTCATGATGTTTATTTGAATTTAAATATGTATTCAATTAATTATTGATGATGTGTTGTATTTTCCCAGGCACTGTACATAACCACTAATATATAATATATACCACTATATATATATATATATATATATATATATATATAATATGGCCACATTTTCTACTTTTAAACAAATAGTAACTGCTGATTTTATTTAATAGTTTATTAGAAAATAGTTAATACAAATAAGTTGAATTATTGCAAAAAGCAAACAGCACTGATGTGCCAAATGTTTAACCGATGTTTCACACCTGTACATTTTCTCAGTTGGAAACATATTTAAAATCCAAGGGGAACTCAGTGGGATCTTATCTTATAATGGCACTGAACTGAATTTTATTACATTTCATAGTTGTTTTTTGATGGTTCCCTCAGGGCAAAGTCTCCCCAGCCTCCACTGGAGGAAGAGGACGAAGAGTTTGATGACACAACTGTATGTTTGGACACTTGTACGTATGAAATCTCACACAAATACTGCTAAAATATAGACTAAATAGTAAATGCTGAATTTCTCATAGCATAACATGCAGAATCAATTTCTGTAAAGTGTAAAATGTTCAGTGAGGTTATTAAAAGTCATTAAAAAGTTGGGAGTAGAATATTTGTTCTTCCTCTAAACTTTGGAAACATGATGTGCAGCCACTCTGTAGCTTTAGAAATAAAGCATCTGTCTCTTATTTTCCTCAGACAACTGTGACCTGCACTTCAAGGTGTCCCGGGATCGGTATAGCGCCTCCTCTCTCACCATGGAGAGTTTTGCATACCTGTGGGCCGGCGGACGAGCGTCTTATGGTGTGGAAAAAGGAAAAGCTTGCTTTGAAATGAAGGTGAGAGCATTGCTTTTGTATGGTTGCTATTTATAGTTGCCCTGTCATGACCTCAACCTTATTCTTGCATATCTTTGCACCAGATTATTGAGAAGATTCCTGTAAAACACATTTCCAGTAAAGGAATTGAGATTCATGATGTCCTGGTGGGTTGGTCTCTGGCCAATAGCTCTCTTTTGCTAGGTGAGGGTCTTTGATTTTTTTTAAAGGAGCTGATCTAATAAATTTATGTCATTTCAGTGTTACTTTGCATTACATGTTCACAGGGGAGGAAGCGCACTCATATGGCTTTTCATCTAAAGCCAAGAAAACCAGCAACGGTTTGACGGAGGACTTTGGGGAGGCTTTTGATGAGAATGATGTTGTCGGTTGCTTTATTGTAAGTATCCATGTGCTTCCTCATCCACAGTGAGTTTTACATCTCTGTGCAATTACTAATCTTGACCACTAAGTGGTGCCATGTGTTCATACTGTTCGAGTTTGGGGTCAGTTTTGTTTTTTGTTTTTTTAAGAAATTAGTAATTTTTTATTCCACAAGGATGCATTAAATAGATCAAAAGTGTTAGTTAAGACATTTAAAATGTTACAAAAATTTATATTTCAAATAAATGCTGTTCTTTTGAACTTTCTGTTTGTCAAAGAAACCTAAAAAAAAAAAAAAAAGTATCACAGTTTCCACAAAAAACTATTAAGCAGCACAACTGTTTTCAACATTAATAACAAAAAATGTTTCTTGAGCAGCAAATCAGCATATTAGAATGATTTCTGAAGGATCATGTGACACTAAAGACTGGAGTAATGATGCTGAAAATTCAGCCATCACAGGAATAAATTACATTTTAAAATATAATAGAAAACATTTATTTTAAATTCTAAGAATATTTCTTTTCTTTTACTGTATTTTTGATCAAATAAACGCAGCATTGGTGAGCATAAGAGAATTATTATTATTTTTAAATCTTACCAACTCCTATATATATATATATATATATATACATATATATTTTTATTTATTTATTTATTTTCTCAGTTGGAACATATATATATATATATATATATATGTGTGTGTGTGTGTGTGTGTGTGTGTGCGTCTTAAATGCATAACTTTAAAAATAAGACTTACACAAATATTTGAAATTGTATATTATTTTGTATATATATATTTGTAAATTTTTGTGTGTGTGTGTATAAAGAAAGTATTATAGATTTATACAATATTTCAGTTATATATTAATATTTTAATACTAATATATATTAATAAATATTTAAATTTGATATATAAATATTGATATATTTCAATGTTTCAAAACCCAGTTTAGTTCTCAACATTGTGAAATTACTTTCGGCCACAGTACAGTATATCATGGTTGCTGTGTTTATTTGGCAGAACTTTGATGGTGAAGAAGTGGAAATCTCCTACTCCAAGAATGGACAGGACCTGGGAACAGCTTTCAAAGTCAGTAAGGATGAGCTGGAGGGAAAGCAGTTCTTCCCTCACGTCCTCTGCCACAACTGTGCGGTTGAGTTCAACTTCGGCCAGCGTGAAACCCCGTTTTTCCCCCAACCTGACGGCTTTACGCTCCTGCAGCAGATCCCTGTTTGTGATCGCATCAGAGGACCAAAGGGGCCCGAGACCAAAGAAGACTGTGAGGTTGGTTTTATAGCCAAGGAAAACTTTTTTTTTTCTTATATCGTCATTAAAAAGCCTTATCTAAATCTGCTGTAAATCTTGCCAGGTCATTGTCATGGTTGGACTGCCTGGATCTGGAAAAACGGAATGGGTTACAAAGCACACACAAGCCAACCCTGGAAAATACAACATTCTTGGAACAAACACAATCACTGAGAAAATGATGGTGAGTGCTGACATAAGAGAATATTTTTAGACAATATAAACATCATATTCAGTGTTATTTTTCTGTTGAAATTCAGATTTCCAGTTTGAAGCGACAGATGAAGGATGTCACAAAGCTCTCAGCGATATCTCAGCGTGCTCCCCTCTTCCTCGGGAAATTCATCGAGATCGCTGCACGTAAAAAACGCAACTACATTCTTGACCAGGTGACTAAATATAATCGAGGGTTTACAAATACTTATCAAAATCACAGCATATACTAATCTCTCTTGAAATGTTACTCTTATTACATTTATTTTTCATGTTAAAGGGTTAGTTCAAAATTCTGTCATTAATTACTCACCCTCGTGTCGTTTCAAACCCGTAAGACCTTCGTTCATCTTCGGAACACAATTTAAGATATTTTTGATGGAATCTGAGAGCTGTCTGACCCTGCATAGACAGCAACACAACTGAAATGTTCCCAAGTCCAGAAACGTAGCAAGGAGATCGGTAAAATAATCCATGTGACATCAGTGGTTCAACCACAATTATACGAAGCTACGAGAATACTTTTTGTGCGCAAAAGAAAAAAAAAACGACTTTATTCAACAATTCGTCTCCTCCGCATCACCCTGGTGCCATTTTGGAGAATATCCACTGGACGTAAACAGCGTATGCTGGTCTGTGTCAGCTGCGTCACACGGATACGCTGTTTCCGTTCAGATGTCACATGGATTATTTTACAGATCTCCTTG